CATAAAAGCATTTTTTGGACGGTTAGTTGCACTCAGTCCGCACCAATGCATTGGAAAAAGGGTTAAAGCCAACTATAGTCCCTCTAGTTTCATTTTTTGTTCATTTTCTTCTCTATACTTTGAAATCATTGAAAGGCCTCCTACTGTTTTAGAACATGCTAGTTTCCTCACTCTACTTTCAATTTTCATACTAGTTACTTCCCTTACCTAACACCTAACTAACACTATTACCATCATATAATAGAATTTTTTTTGCCGTTAAATCTCCATCCATACATTAATTTATTTATTTTTTATGAATTTTTATTATAAATCTCACAATTCCCATATCACTTGCAATGCACCAACCTAGATCTGCCCCTAAACTTATGAAAATAATACATATACAATTTATTTTGTCAATATGGAAGTTAAGAATTGTTTATCAAAGGATTGTTTATAAGGGGAAGATCTACTAACACTGTGTTTCCTTTTTAATATTGGTGCAACTCCCCTAGCACATGCGCCCAAGAAATTCCCAAGAGCTAGATTTTACATTGCAGTTCTCAGTTATTATTATAACTTTTGGAATGCTTTCATAGTTTTGGGAATGCTTTCATAGTCTCCGAATGCATTCACTATTCCTATTTGCTATGTCTTTTTGATGTTATGGGTTGAGTACCCTTGTACTCCTATATATAATAATTTTTGATTCATCTAAAAAAATCAAAGGATTAACTTGAAGATATACATAAACTAACTTTGAAATACCCTAATAATAAAAAAAGAAAATAAAGAAAAATAATTTTTGAAATAGACTATTATATATTGATCAATAAATTTATTTTTTAATTTTATTAATCAAATTTATTTTCTATAGAGAATATAATAAAAGAAATTATAAAGAATTTATTAATTTATATATCACAATAATCATATAAAATCAAATAAATAAAGTTAAACATTTTTTTTTTTGATAGTAAGAATTAATTAATCTATTTGTGTTAGTATCTGTAAGCGTAAGAATTTGAACCCGAGAAAAGAGTGATCTCCACCTGCTCCTCATAGAGGAGCGTGGCCTAACTAGTGGGTCACATGGGAGAGATCATAAGGTTAGACATTTAGTTTGAATTCTCATAATCAAATCAAATTTTTAATTATTTAAAATAATTTTGGATAAAACTTTTATACTAAAATTTTGAATTATTCTAAAAGTGCAACGTTAGTACCTTTACGTACAACTCTTCGCAATCCGTTTTACTTTTTAGTCCGTCTCTTAACTATTCATACATATCACCCGTTTAATTAACGGAGCTTTTTTTTATTAATATGCTTACTTGGATTTTTGAAAAAAAAAAAAATCTATTCATACAGTGACATACTGACATTTTCTGTCTTCTGTGGGCTACTAATTGCCTTTCTTTTTTTTTTAACATAGGAGAATTTTGGGGAGGGGGAATTAGAACCAAGGTTATAGCCTTGGAATATACACACCCTATCCACTGCATCAAGTGCTGCGGGTGTGTGGCTACTAATTGCCTTTCTGAATTGATTTTCCTGACTTTTGCATAAAGTCGTTCCCTGCTTAGCTTTGCAGGAAGGCAGGCAATTCCACTAACCTTTGGAAAACGTGGCTATGCTGTTGGTAAAATGACAAGAGATAAAGGAATCCGAGGCAGAGAAAAATATCTGAGGAAAGAAACAATGATAGCAAGAAAATCACGACAGCATGCTTAAATTACAATCACAATTGGGGCCAAGATGAATGTGTTTGCTTTTTTTGCCAATGGTGAAAATTCCAATTCATGGGAAAGACTTGAGGGCACTCATGTTTCTCATTCTTTTGAGTTGGAGTCCAAGGTAAAAGGGCAAGTTTTATGTGCACCTGCTCGCGTTACATTCTGGACACCAACAGAGGCAACATTTCAGGTGATATATTCAAATGATATTCTATCATTGGATCGATATCCTTGCCGATGGACCTATAGAGAGCAAGTTTGAATGGGCAAAGGCACTTTTAGCAAAATAAGGATTAAAAATTAGTTTAAACCTTTTGTATTTTATGAATTGTCCTGTAAGCAAATTAATAGTGTAAAATTTTAAGGATAAGCCTTCTCAAAATATAAAATGGGTTTTTTAATTAAACTTTTAATAGTAAAATAAATATATTTTTAATTATAAATTTATATTAAAAATAAAAATTTATTTATCAATTATTTAATTAAATTTATTTACTTAATAACCATAATAAAATTAATTTTACTTTTTCTAATATATTTATGACAAAAAGTGAATTAGAGACATAATCTAAAAAACTAATTTAAATTTAAAATTAAGAAATATTAAGACATTATAATAATTAAAATGTCAAAATTTATAATAAAAAATAAAAAATATTTTCAATAAATTAACAAATAGAAAAATTTATTAATAATATTTAAAATAATTTTATAAAAAATTTTAATAGTTAAAGTACAAAATAATTAATGCCACAGTTTCAAAATTGTATGTTTATTGTAAGGCTGAGCATATCAAGCATTGCAAAGTGCCCAAGTTGCAGTAGGAAGAGGGCTAGAGTTTGAAAGTTAGGTTTCAGAAGTTGCAGATGAACCCAAATTTAAACAAAGCAGAACAAGGTTCCGTCGAAAATAAAACTTGGGCTAACTTTATAAATGGTCTATTAATTATGTGATTTATTTTATTTTAATCTAGAAACAATTTTTTCTTTTAAAATGATCTATAAACTATTAATTTTCTTTCAAAATGGTTTATTTGACATACTTGACAAACATTCACTAATAGAATTCTTTCTGTTGACAAGTTACCCCCTAAATTTTTTAAAAATGTTAAATATAGTATATATATTTTTATT